GTCGATCAACACCTCAGTAACATCACCCTTGCTGCGCAAGGGGAAGACTGTGGTGTAACGCGAGTAGTCGTCAACCACCAGCAGGAAGTAGCGCTCGTGACCCTGCCCACGGACGCGGGCCGGGCCCCACACGTCCATGTGAAGCGTCTGCAGAGGAGCCTCTGTCGGGGGAAACTGGGAGGAGTGAGGGGCAGCCCGGAGCCGCCCCTCGACACAGGGGACACAGGAAGGTCCGGGTCCCGAGGGAAGGGGAGGGAGAGACCGGGGAAGACCGGAGACAAGGACACGGGAAGCCATGCCCCGAAGACGAGGCAAGGAGGGGTGGCCAAGACGGTGGTGCCACAGGAGAGTCTCCTGAGACAGGCGGCGACACGAGCAGGGGGCAGACTCAGGACCAGACCTGGACGCAGCAGCAAACACCTGACCCGACGCAGCTACCTGGCCAGACGCAGGGACAGGAGGAGACTCAGTGGTCAGGGTGTAGAGACTCGACCCCGGCCGACGCGAAAACGTGGCCAGGTGTCGGCCTGTGCGGGCGTCCGAGCAGTGGGTCACCCGCTGACTCGCAGGAGTAAACTGGTGAACCCCCGCATCCTGCAGGTCAGCACCACTCACCAAGTTCGTCGAGAACGAGGGGAGGTACAGACCAGACAAGGTGCCCGAGGGGGCAGCCGGACACGGGAGGACAGTGGAGAAGTGAGAGAGGACAGGACCCCCAGAGGGGTCAGCCAGGGAGACTGCAACCGGCCGGCCAAGCGGCGTGAGTGTGGTGCGGTCTCGAAAGAAGGAGCGAGAAGCCCCTGAGTCAAGCGTGAAGGTGAGGGAGGCCGAAGCCGACGCAGTACCTGAGAGCGCAGCCTCACCAGTACCTGAGAGTGCAGACGCACTGGCACCTAGAGCAGCAGCCGCAGAAGTACCTGGCGTAGCAGTACCAATGCCCGGGTCGGGCGGGAAACACCGGTAACAGTCACCCTCCTCACTAATAGTCACAGCATACATGGCAGCAAGGATAGCATCAAAGTCAAGATCAAAGATAGCTACGCCAGCCCTAGACAGCTCTCCCCAACGGGGAATCTCACTAGCCTCGGGGAACTGCTGACGCCAAGCGTCCGTCAGGCGGCCAAAGCAGCGCTGGGTGGGGTGGGCACCCCCACACTGCTCACCCGCGCGGTCGCCGGAACGAAGGACGTAGGTGCACGGACCAAAACCCCCACCCCGCTGACGCTGCGTGTACCACTCACGGAGCTGCTGGGGCGGGGGGATGTCCCGCGAACGCTGCTGCTGCTGCTGCTGCTGCTGACGCTGGCCACCACCAGAGCCGCTACGCTGCGGGGCACCACCCCGACCAGCTCCACCCCCTCCGCCACCGCCGCCTCCACCTCCACCACCACCGCTGCCTCCGCTCCCACCGCTGCCGCCACCACCGCCTCCTCCTCCGCTGCTGACACCGCCACCACCGCCCCCGCCACCACTCCCACCGCCACTCCCACTCCCTCCGCCGCCTCCACCGCCACCTCCACCGCCCCCGCCAGGTCCACCCGCGCCCTTGCCCCCCTTGCCCCTGCCAGGGCGGCGTCTCCCGCTAGGGGCAGACGCCGCGCAGACCGACTCAAGACCAAGCAGGTCGGCAGCAGCAGCAGAGGCAACAGAGGGCAGCAGGGGGGAAGGAGAACACCCCTCAAAGATGGGGGTGCGAGGGTCACCACGAGAGGCTCCTACAGCGACGATGCTCTTCTCCGCCGCCAGGAGGGACTTCTCGAGGAGGTCGACAGTGAGAGTGGTGGGACAGACTGAGAGGAAGTGGTCCCTGACTACGTGAAGGGAGTCAGGGAGGCGTGTGACTATGTAATAGAGAGTGATGTACATGGGGGGGGGGTTCTTGGCGCAGAACTCAGCAGGAAGGGCGGCACGGTAGCGAGTGTCACTAGTGCGGAGGTGCGTAATGAGGTCAGCGACAGTGGGAAAGGCAGCAAGGTCAGGAAAGAGGTACGGTAGCATGAGGCGGCTAAGGGCAGCAGTGGCAGGGGAAGAGTAGCGCGCAACTACAGCGTCGTACAAGGTCTGAGCACTCTTGTACTGACTAAAGTGCGCGCGCTCAGTGGTAGGCAGGTGGCGACGCACAGCAAGACGTGCAGCAGCATCGCGGGTGGCCCACTGAGAGCGAACAGTGGGGTCAGCATCAGCAGCAGGGGCAGGAGAGGCGCCAGAGGTGAGGTCAAAGAGGGAAAGACCGTCCGCCCTATCGCACTGTAAGAACAGCTGCAGGTCGTCGACCCAGACCTCAAAGTCAATGGCTCGACCCTCAGCGTCAAAAGCGAGGACACTAGGGGTAGCCATGACGACGACAGTGTAGTAGTGCAAGCAGTAGGGGAAGGGCACGCAGTAACAGTGGTGCTGTGCTCACCAGGCAGGGCAGGTCGGGCGGCTCGGCAGTAGGGCGGCCCGGCGACTGGGCGGCTCGGCGGCTCGGCTGCTGGGCGGCTCGGCTCCCGGGCGGCTCGGCGGCAGGGCGGCTCGGCAGCAGGGCGGCTCGGCTGCACGGCGGCTCGGTTGCTCGGCTCCCGGGCGGCTCGGCAGCAGGGCGGCTCGGCGGCAGGGCGGCTCGGCGGCCGGGCGGCTCGGCTGCAGCGCGGCTCGGCGGCGGGGCGGCTCGGCTGCTCTGCTGCTGGGCGGCTCGGCTGCGCTGCTGTTGGGCGGCTCGGCTGGGCCGCTGACGTAGCGAGGCGGCGGGGCCGCGAAGACGGGCGGCGGGGCCGCTGCAGAGAAGCGGCGGGGCCGCAGGGAAGGGCGGCGGGGCCGCAACGAGAGAAGCGGCGGGGCCGCGAAGTCGGGCGGCGGGGCCGCTGAGTAGGGCGGCGGGGCCGCAGTGAGAGGCGGCGGGGCCGCAGCGAGAGAGGCGGCGGGGCCGCGAAGACGGGCGGCGGGGCCGCAGTGAGTGGCGGCGGGGCCGCAGCGAGAGATGGCGGCGGGGCCGCGAAGACGGGCGGCGGGGCCGCAACGAGAGAGGCGGTGGGGCCGCAGGTAAGGGGCGGCGCGAAGCCGTCGGTGAGGGCGGCGTAAAGCCGCGGGTAAGGGCGGCGACGGGCCGGGAAAAGGGGCGGCGCGCCGCAGCCGCTATGGCGGCTCGACGCGACCGTAAGGGCGGCACTACGGGCCGCTAGGTGCGACTCGACGGGCCGCTAAAAAAAAAAAAAAAAAAAAAAAAAAAAAAAAAAGGGCAGGCGCGACTCGAGGCGCGTTTCGGTGGGCCCAAGGAACAGTCCCTAGGAGGGGACCTGCTCTGATTCCATGTGAGAATGAGAACGAGAATGAATGAACTATGAATGAAGTGAGTACATATAGGAAACCCTAATTGGGTTGTACCCCCTATGGGATACCCCACTATAGCCTACACAACAGCATAAACTATATATATATGTTCTGACACCAGGTTCCTTCCCCTGTGCTCCGGGTACCTTCTCCTGTGCTCCAAGTACCTCTTCCTGTGCACCGAGTACCTTCTCCTCTGCTCTAGGTACCTTCTTTTGTGCTCCAAGTACCATTCCTGTGCTCCATGTGCATCATCATGTGCTTGAGTTACCAACTTTACGAGGCGTTTGTGCTGTCTGGACTAAACGAGAGCTCTGATTCTGTTTTCGTCCACCATCCCATTATCAAAACTAGAAGAATGGTCATCCAAACTAAACAGAAGATGTGCTGCATGCACGTGGCAGCAACACGACCTGCACAGTGCTCGCACCCAACATGTATTGCAATGATGTCTTCCCGGTCTACGTCCTCGCACTTCCCCAATTCCAAGCCCATAACGTGCCTCCTCACGCTCACCTCACCACCGTGCTGCCTGCTCTGCTCAACGCCCCAGTTTATCCCTCGCCTCGCATCCCCAATTCCACGCTTCACACCAATTTTGTCGCTTCTTTCCACATTCGTGCTTAATCCGCACTGTGCTCCGTGTGGCCACCCCACCCTCCCTCGCCCCCACCTCCGTCTCTACACCACTCTCCAGGTCGTCGATTAACGTTAACTCTTCTCAACCTGGCATCAAGTGCAACCGACTCATGCCATGCACTGATGTTGCCACCTTCACTGGCTTTGAGGTGCGTCCGCGGGTTATTTGAACTTGGATGGCTTGCGATGCGAGCCCCACCCATCAACGTGATTCCTCATCCATATGCTGCCCTTGCATCACCCTCTCACGCATGTGGCGCTCTTGTTGTTCCTGACTTGTGCCCTTTACTTCACTCACAGGAATGCATTTCTCGCTCCACTTTGTATGCTCGTCGGTCCTGTTTTGGTTGCTTCCCCTTGCTCTGTCCATTTTCCCCCACCCGCACCCCTTCAGACATAAAACGCAATCGCTACTAAATAAACTCGTTGGTTCCCTTGTTTGTTGTCACTTGTTCCTTCCCTCAACTTTCTCCTCCCCACCTTTCTTCAGACATGCATTGCGAGCACCTCTTCCTACACTGCCGGCACAGGCCCGCGTGCGAATGCGTATGTGGTGGGGACAGGCAACAGGTGCACGGCCGTTCAGGTGAAGTACTTCCGGGGCATCAAGGGCTGCTACGGTACAGGAAAGTCAACGGATATCCAACTGCATCGACAAGTTCAGAGTACAGTGCATTCATCGTAGCATCGTGGGCCCCTACTGCAATATTGGGACCTTTCAAATACATCCACGCGTATTCACTCAGGCAGCCTTCGCGTGGTTCACTTCACATCCTAGATACAAATTTACAAAAGGCACTGATCTTGTCAAAACCTCAGAAGCTTGAGGTGTGATGTTGTGAGGTCCTAGAGCACCAGATGGGGCGGGGGAGTTTGTGGCCTTACCCACGGTACAGTTTAAGGGGCATCGAAAGAAAGCTTCATCTCTCTCTGCCCTACGCCCCCTACAGTGAAGATTAACCATCTGTTACCGTACCAACCTAGGTTGAATATACGGGGAAGTACGTAAGGTACGGCATTGGGTTTAAGAACGAAGAGAGGGAACCACATGCTCAATCCTCAAAGCTGCCATCACAAGGAGAATGGTTGTACCATTCCCTGCCCTTGAGAAATTCTTCCACGCACGGAGGCACTCGGGGCATGGGGCCATCGGAGGTGAGTCTGAAATGGCGGAGCGACGTGAAGGCGGAGAGGAAAGGCGGGAGAGAGTGCAAGCGGCGCCAGTGGAGGAGGTCGAGACGAGTGAGGCGGGAGAATTTGAGCAGCGAGGATGGGAGGTGCGGCAGGTCACAGCGACAGATTTGAAGCGTGGAGAGGCGAGGCGGGCACGTAAGATAGGGCTGGGAGCAGCCTCTGTTGATGTTGGAGAGGCGGAGGGTGTGCAGGGAGGAGAAGCAGGAGAGGCATGCAAGGAAGTCCCGGCAGTCAGCGTTGTCCACCACCAGAGTGGTGAGCGCCGTCAGCTGCGTCAGCTGAGGTTCACTCTCAAACCCCGACAGCTTTGCACGGTCCAAGTGCAGGAAGCGCAGGTTGGCAGAGAAGCCACTCTCCACCTCCCAGGCCACGTAACGATTGCCAGCTAGTGCCATGTGTTCGAGGGCAGGGAAGAGCGACATCTCGACATAGGAAGAGGGGCCTGAGTTGGCCAGCAGCTGAAGCACCTTGAGCTTGGGAAACACAGGCGCCCACCATTCACCACTGTCTGTGCGCCACTCGCAAAGATTTCCCGCGGAGAAGCGGATGCGGTCGGCTCGAACGTCAAGCTGCTCCAGGTATGGTGCTACGCGGGCAATGAATCGAGCGACTTGCACGGAAGAATCAGGGCATTGCACGCGCAGGCGACGCAGGCGACGCAGGCGGGGCAGGTGGGGCAGGCAGGCAGAGTCGGACCTGTCGCAGCGGCTGTCGCAGCAGAGGAAGAGGTCCTCCAGGCGAGTGAGGCGAGAGAGGTCGATTGCGCAGTAGAGGGATGGGAGGGAGAGGGAAGTGAGGCCGGTGAGATGGGGAATGAGAGAGGGGAAGGATCGGTAGTGGGAGAGAGAGAGGGAGGTGAGGTTGCAGAAAGGCAGCAGTCTCTCATCAGTGCCTGCGTTGGCAAACCCGTTGCTCCGCTCCTCCTCCTCCTTATCACCATCATGACCATCATCCTCTCCCACCCTTTCCTCCTCCCCCTCCTCCTCCTCATCCTCCTCCGCTCCCACCCCTTCCTCCTCATCATCATCATCCAGTCCCGGAATCCAGAGGTTGGTGTCGAGGCGAGTGAGGGAAGTGAGGCAGGAGAAGGAAGAGGGCATGGTGGAGATGGGGAGGTGCAGGGAGAGGGCGGAGAGGCACGAGGGCAGCCCCAGCAGCAGGTCGCCAGAGACGCTGCTCCAGCTGCTGCCGTCCTCAGGGTGGTAGAAGCGGCTGAGGGTGCTTGGCACGTGCAGGGCGAGCGAGTGGAGGGAGCGGAGGTGGGCGAAGGGGGAGGGGAGGGAGAGCTGTGGAGGCATGGATTCTGCTGGGAGGGCGAGGGCGAGGGAGGTGAGGCGCGAGAGGAGGAGGAGGGAGGAGGGGAGGCGGGAGAGAGGGAGGGAGAGGGCGGTGAGTTGTGGGCAGCGGAGGAAGAGTGAGTCAGGGAGTTTGAGGCGGTTCGTGAGGGTGTCCCCTTGAAGGTGCAGCTGCTTGAGTCCCCGGCATCTCTTCAGCACGGCAAACAGCCCCCTCTCCATCTCCTGGTTTGCCTCCGTTCCAGCAGCCTCCCACCAGTCGTCCTGCCAGTCCTGCCGCCCATATCCGCACCTGTATTCAGGTAAGAAGCCGAGCTCCAGGAGCAAGGAGAGGGAGGTGAGAGCAGGGAGAGCAGCAGCAGCAGCGAGCAGCGAGCGCAGATGGGAGGGGCGGAGGGGGCAGGCCGTGGTGGAGACGAGGAGAAGGGCGAGCGTAGAGAGGTTGGGGTAGTGGGCGAGGGTGTGCGCGAGGGAGGAGGGGGAGGGGAGCGAGGCGAACCAGACGGGGGAGAGGTGTTCCTCGTTGTTTATATAGTGGGTGAAGCAGGAGGAGAGGGAGCAGGGGGTGATGGGAGGGGGGAGGGTGAAGTGAGGGCGGGAGGAGGTTAGCAGGGAGAAGGGGGAGGTGGGGGAGGAGTGGATGACCCAGAAGGGAGAGTCAGAGGTGAGCCACGCGGAGGAGAAGAGAGGAGAACCGTTGACACCTGCTGCTGCTGCTGCTGCTGCTCTCGTCTCGTGGTGGCTTATCCTGCTGTGACCGCTGCAATCAGGCTTGGAGGAGGAAGAAGTGGAGGGAGGGGGGTGGAGCAGGGGGACGGGCAGCCAGGAGAGTGAGAGGGGGTGGAGGGCGAGGGCGAAGCAGGAGGTGTGGAGGCGGCACCAGTGGTGCCACTCGCGGCACACCAGTCTCACTCTCGCCTGCTCCACAGGACTCTGCACCCGCTGCAACACACCTTGTAGCACCTCCCATGGTAGCTGCGTGCTGCTGCTGTCGGCACTGCTGCTTCCGTGAGTGCTGCTGCTACTGCTGCTACTGCTGCTGCTGCTGCTACTGCTGCTGCTGCTGCTGCTGCTACTGCTGCTGCTGTTGCTGCTGCTGCTGCTCCAGCAGCTGCTGCTGCTGCTGCTGCTGCAGCTGCTGCTGCTCCTGCTACTGCTGCTGCTGCTGCTGCTGCTGCTGCTGCTGCTGCTGCTGCTGCTGCTGCTGCTGCTGCTGCTGCTGCTGCTGCTGCTGCTGCTGCTGCTGCTGCTGCTGCTGCTGCTGCTGCTGCTGCTGCAGCTGCTGCTGCTGCTGCTGCTGCTGCTGCAGCTGCTGCTGCTGCTGCTGCTGCTGCTGCTGCTGCTGTTCTGCCGCTGCTGTAGCACCTCTGCTGGTACCTCCTCTTGCGTTAACAGCTGCTGTTGCTTCTCGGCCCGCTGATCGTGCGAAGTATGATTGTTGGCACTAGGGTCCTTGCATGAGCCTCTCACCTCCACCTCCTGTACCCCTTGCACCAACTCCCCTCCCTGCTCCGCCTCCTGCCGCCACTCTTCCTCCTCCTGCTGCTGTTGCTGCTGCAGCTGCTGCTGCTGCTGCTGCGCGTCCTGCCCCTCTCCTCTTACACCCTCACATCTCCACTCCCACTGCTCTTCCTCTTTCCTCCCCACCTGTCGCCACCACTCCCTCTGCTCCTCCTTCTGCACCTCACTCAACACCGATCCCTCAAACACACTCTGAAATCTCATCTTCCTCTTCCTCTCCTTCTCAATCTCCCTTTTCTTCTTCGGTTTCCCCTTCGTTTTCTGCTCTTCCTCCTGCTCTCGCGCCCAGCCTCTCCCCTGCAGATACCCTTGGAGCCCCACAGGCACCACGACAGGGTCGTAGCCACGGTTGAAGGAGAAGTGAGTGAGGGAGGAGAAGGTGGAGAGGAAGGAGGGGAGGGCGCGGAGCGGGGTACACTGGAAGAGGTGGAGGCGAGTGAGGGAGGAGAAGAGGCGGAGGCAGTCAGGGAGGAGGGGAGTGTGGGATTGGCAAATTTGGAGCGATGTGAGGTGGGGAGGGCAGGAGAGGGCGGAATGGTAGTTGTGCATGGAGAGGTTGAAGATGCGGAGGGCAGTGAGGGCGGGGAAGAGGGCGAGCGACGCGAGGAAGCGCGAGGAGTGCGGGTAGGACCCCACTATGAGCGTGCGCAGGTGGGGCAGCACGGGCAGGGGGGCACGTGGGGGGGAGTGGATCCGCAGGAAGGTGAGGTTGGGGAGGAGGTGCGGCAGGATGGTGGGTGCGTGCATTTGGGGATGGGAAGGCCATCGGGTGTCATGGATGGCCAGGTGGGTCAGGCGTGGCAGCACGCCCATGAATGCGAGCGTGTGCTGCGGTTGCTGCGGGCCAGTGTGCTCTGGTCTTGAGTGCCCTTGCCCTGTGTGAGAGCCCGCATGGCTGCTCACATTGTGGAGCACAAGCTCTTCAAGGAAAGGGAAGAAGCACGCAGCTGCTGCACCACATGCGCCCTTCCCTACATCCCCCTCCACCCTCGCCTCCCCAGATGCCTCCCCCCATCCTTGCACGGCCACGAAAGGAGAGCCTTGGATCTTGAGCGACTGCAGCTGAGGGCACAGCCGCCCCCACACCGCCAATGGGATGACGCCAGCTGTCCCCGTGAGAGTGACGTGGCGGAGGGAGGCTGACGAAGGGGCTGCTTCGGGGCACAGGGGAGGTTCGGTGTGACCAGATGCAGGTTCGGTGTGGAAAAATGTTGGTTCGGCGGGACCCTCACCATTGACGTGCAGATGAGACAAACGGGGCCAGTGGGAGAAGAGCGCAAGAGAAGCGGGAGTTTGGAGAGGGGAGGCGAGGGGGATGGAGAGGAGAGTGAGGGAGGAGAGGGAGGAGAGGCATGGAGGGAAGGTGCAGTGAGCGAGGAGGGAGAGAGAGGTCAGGTTGGGGAGGGAGGCTAGGCACTGCCGGTGGCACTGGTGCGGGTGGGTAGAATCGTGGGGGGCGAAGAGGGCGTTGAGGCCCGTGCAGTGCCACTCGCCTCCCACGTTGGTGGTGAGCTGCTGCAGGCGCGTGAGCGACCACAGCGAGGCAGGCAGCCACCCCACCACCGAGTCCTCCCCTCCCCACGCGTCCCCCACCCATCCGCCTCCCTCCTCCTCCTCCCCTCTTCCTCCTTCCACACTTTCTTCTATCCCCCCACCCCTACCCCCTGCCCCCTGCGCCCTCTCACCACGCCTTTTCCTCCTCTTCTCTTCCGCCCCTGTTGGCTTTGTACACACTAGGAACGTCAAGGACGACAGGCTCGGTCCGAGCCCAGCAAACAGGTCCGGCGAGAGAGGCTCAGAAAGAGGGGTGGTGGGGGTTCCAAGGGAGAGGTGGAGGAGGGAGAGGCGGGAGAGAGAGTGGAAGGGACGAGCGGAGAGGAGGGGATGGTGGGGAGCAGAGAGGGAGAGGCGGAGGGAGCGGAGGGAGGAGAGGTGGGGCAGGAGGTAAGGCGGGAGGTCGGAGAGAGGCAGGGAGAGGTGTCCGAGACGGGAGAGCAAGGCAGCTACGTCTTCACTCATTGTGAGGTAGTTGTTGCTACCGAGGATGAAGTGCAGTGAGCGTAGCTGCGGACAACTCGTTACAAGCTCCCTCATCTGCTCCGCCTGAGCTTGCTTCTTCCATCCCCAATCGCTGGGATTGTCCAGGTGGATCGGGCACGAGGCGTGTCTTGGCGGCTCAGAGACAAGGTGCAGCGACCGCAGGTTCACGCATGAGCGCGCCAAGCCCATCATTTCCCTAATCTGCCACGCCCAGCCTGAGCAGAAGTCGACAGTCACGGGCATGTGAAGCGCGCTCACGTGCTGCGGGCGTCGCGACAGCAGCTGCTCGAGACGCGAGCGCAAGGCATCCAGGGGCGGAAGGGGCGAGACATAATCCGGGTCGATTTCGGGGCGAGACGATTCGGGGTCGTCGCAGAGGTGGCTGCAGTAGTAGTAGCCCCAGTCCTTTATCGTCGTCACGCGCCTCAGCTGCTCCTTGCCCATCAGCTCATCCACTAGGAACGGGGCTGCATACCGCCCCTCTGCCGCTGCTTCTGCTGCTGTTGCTGTCGAGTCCGTTGCTGCTGCTCCCACATCTGAATCTGCTCCGCCCGCGAGTGCAGGCGGTGGTGGCGAGGGCGAAGGTGGCGGGTGGGAAAGGGAGGAGTCAGAACCTCTTGCCCAGGTCTCCGCGCGCGGCGGATCGTGCGCGTGACGGCGCGGCGGTTCATCCGTTTGGTCCATGTCAAGGCGCGGCATGTCGTCCGTGGTCCACAGTCTCTCCGCGCGGCGCGGCTCTTCCGAAGAGCAGTCATCATGCCACCTGCTGCGCCGGCTGCACGCGTCCCGGTCAGCGGTTCCGCCTGGCCCTTCGTGTCGCAGCTTCACGAGTCGCCATCGAAGCGCGTGGGCGTCGAACAAGCACGCGAGCCCTATGCTATTTATTGACCCAGCGCTGGTCATCGTCGCACGGCGCCGCTCGCGCAAGACAAACGCGACAGTCGAGAGTTCTAGCCTCTGAAAGGATGACGGGGAGCGATGGAGGAAGGAGCCTAGTCGACTAGAGGGGCTGACGACAGTGGGGGAAAATACCCGACGTTCTAGTAGTTGAGGCGAAGTGGAGTGATTGATGCTACTAGAACGTTGAGGGAGAGTGGTTTGACAAACGAAATGGTTGTCCATTTTATACAAGCGTGAAGAGTGAAGGGGTTGTTGTTGGTTGGTGCTGCGGCTGTGTGAGCGAGGAGTCCCCTCCCCTCCCCACATCTGCTGTGTGACTTCGCCTTGTCATGCGAAATCTGACGTGAAACAGAATGACGAACGCAACGATCGCGGATCGCGACAATCTCTAGACTCCGTGCGACCCTGGCGAAATTGGACACGCTGGCAAATCCAGGTTTGACCAGAGCGGAATTCACTTTTCGCGAACTACCGTGTCGTGTGTGATTATCGAAGAGGGCTGGTAATGAGATTCAGGGGTTTTGAAAAAACCGAGCTGTTACAAGTTGTCCCGAGGGCGCGTGTCTTTTGGTGTAGAGGTTCAAAAATTAGGTCTATCTTCTGCTGGTAACCTGCTTCGCCAGATTCGTTAAAGGCTCTTCGCGAGAATCGTGTCCCATCTCTGGCAATGGCGATGAAGTGGGACACTAAACCTGGGTCGAAATCACGTACCGTAAACCCCCGGATATAAGACCCTAGGGTCTTATCATAATCTCACCTAAGAAAAATGGGGGGGTCTAAATATGTGGCATATATAATATAAGACCCGGGTCTATACAAAATGACTTTTTAGATACATGTTTTTGGGCACAGACAAATAAATGGGAAGTGTTCCGTTTTAGCACTCCAAGAAAATACGCGAAACCATCTCTTTGAGGTCTGACACACGTCAACACGAAATCAAGCTGGGAGGGTTCTCTCATTGGCCAGAATAGGCCACCACATCAAGCATAGAGGCACTGTGTGATGAGCCCAGCGCACTGTGTCGCCTCGGCCTTCACACCCCATGCACGCTGCGAGGGGGCTGCACGGCATTGGTTAGGGGGTACTCTACACCCAGTAGCTGGCACGTCCCTGTGTGTAGGCTGTACTTCACGTCCTTCTCCTCTTGTTTCTTCTCCCCAGCACGTAACGTTTCCTTGCTCGGCTGGCTATCAGAGATGGCGAGCGGAGCCATTATAAAACCTCCTCGAAGCTAGCAGCGTGTCATCTGTAGTTTAGCCGCCATGGTGACATCCCCAGATGCTGAGACGTCGGGTGCTCAACGCCGGCGCCGCCGTGTCCCCAGTACACCTCCTGTTGCTAGGCCATCGCCCAGGCCCGTCATGCCTGTTGGAAACAAACAATCTTAAGCGCCTCTGTCGTGTCGAAACACCAAGTCACAAGCGAGGCGAAACATATCGGAGCACCAGCGAGTCAACCCTCGGAGGTTGAGCAACTGCTGGAGGTTACGCGAAAGTCAAAGGTCAGCGACCTTTGACCTGACAAATACAGCGCGACAGCAAGGACACACAACTGACTCGTTACAGAGCAGTTGCCCGAGTTGTCACTGTATCGAACCGCAACAGCAACAGTAAAGTGGTTATAACTGTATCTCTTCATATTCCCTGTATTCTTATATAATCTTGTATCTCTTTACTTTAATCAATCTACTTTGCCCTCACATACTAGCGCAAGGTGGTTCACAACTCTTTATTAAAACGCTTCCGCTACTACACCAGTACTACCCAGAGTTCACCCCTGCAAAGATCCTAAGGGGTCTTCTCAGCCCAACATGGTATGAGAGCTATCAGGGGAAATTCAACTATCAAAACACCTACAACATCAGAAGACATGGCTACTCAGAAGGAAAGGAGTTCCTCTATTGGTTCTCCCGGCACTACTCCTACTGCACCTCCTGCCTCTGGCCTACAGACAGAGGAGGGTACGTCAACAAGACCCAGGGCAACATCCACCAAAACTCCTGCGAATCAACCTGCAGGTTTTGACCAGAGCATGATGGAGAAGTTTTTCTCCTTCATAACCTTCTACGAGCAACACCAGCAATCGGTACCTGCGCAGTCACACAACAGCAACAACAACAACGACGTGACTCCAATGAGCCTTGACGGTTCATCCTACGCACGTGGAAATCAACAGCAGCAACCTACCTTTGCTCCGTACGAGCCCCAGCGCGGCTCCGTCAGCTTTATGCCACAACCGCAGCCTGCACCTGGACAGGAGAAACCACTGGACGCACTTCAAGGTCAGTCGCAGTTCGCGCACGTCTTAAAACTTCAGACGTCAAGACCTTTCGACGGAAAGGACTTCTTCACCTGGTCGTTCGAGTTCGAGTTAATGATGGAAGGTGCGCAGATTCTTGGCTTCTTCGACGGATCCCTGCCATACCCAACAAACGGCACACAGTACGAGAAGCAGCAGTACACCTATCAATCAATGATGGCGTATACGATTCTCCTGAGGAACATCACCCCGAACCAGCAGCAGAATATACGACCTTACCGGGGATACGGCAACTCCGCCGAACTCGCATACAACCACTTGAAGAACCTGTACCAAGCAACAGACAACGTTAATCAGAGTCGGCTAATGGCGCAGTTGACAACAGTGGAAATGAAACCAGGCGAAAAGGGAATAGCGTGTATCAGCCGCTGTCGCGAGTTGCGCGACAAACTCCTTCGATGCGGAGGGTCGATATCTGAAGACGCCTTCATAACAGTTATCATCGGCGGCCTCGGTCCTCAATGGCGCGCCACAAAAGCCATTCTCCGAGCTCACGGAAGAATCTCCGAAGCAGCACTCTGCGCCGAAATTCACGCCGAGCAACAAGACATGGACCTGCAAGAGGAACGGCACAAGAAGAAAGCATCAGCACCGGAATTCGCCTTCCACACTCAGCGACACTACAACAACAACAACAACAACAACAACAACAACAACCAAAGTCTGTACCTCCGTTCTGCCACATCTGCAAGACGTCAGGGCACCCACGCACACACTGCCCGAATCGACAACAGTCAACTCCACCGCAACGGCAGCTTCGACCCTCAAGCAGCCAAGTGGCATCGACGCAGGCGAACCCCACGAGTCAGTCGCAACCCTCAACAACACAATCTGCACAAGGAGCAAGAAACATCGTCAGCTGCATGGCAAAATTGACCGATTCCTGCATCACCGAGTCACCACCACACTACTCACCGGAAGAACAACTCGACAACACCACACCTCGCCGCGAGTCACTTCAACCGAATCCAACGTACGCAGCCATCGCCCAGAGCGAGCCATCCGGGAAAGACACCTGATTCTTGGACAGTTGCTGCGGACAGCACATGTGCTCTTCAGGACGCTTCGTGCAGCAAGAGTACCAACTCCAACGCGAAGTAGTCATCACCGTCGCCAACAACCAGAACCTGCGCACACGACGACAAGGCGTGGTTCAACTTCAGTCAAGAGAGACAAACGTTATACTACAGATGTCAAAGGTATTAATCACGGAGGGACTCGGCTACAACTTACTGAGCGTCAGCCAGTTGATGGCAAAAGGCATTCATCTTGAAGCAGACAGCACCACCCAGGAGTTCAAGTTGTACCACGGGAGAGGAGGTCTTTACATCGGCAAGGCAGTCTTGAAAAACAACGTCTTCGTTCTCGACTTCGTCCCGGACCTTGGCACCGCTGACAGCGATGCCATCGTGAACTTCATCTCTTGGACACATCCACCGGATCTTGACCCAGACTTCAGCCCCGGCGGTTTCTAGTATTCACACACGATACGTGAAGCAGAAAGAACAAGAGCGTGAGCGACAATTCAACATTCGGCAGTAGCAGAGACAACATCGACAGCAGCAGAGACAACATCGACAGCAGCAGAGACAACATCGACAGCAGCAGAGACAACATCGGCAGCAGCAGAGACAACATCGGCAGCAGCAGAGACAACGGAGACAACAGCGGCAACATCAACACCAATCGCTGGTCCTTCAACGGCACCGATCTTCGTCGACGACACACCACCGACACCCGCGCAGCAACTGCATCCAGCACCACGAGAAGTTCATCGAAGCACCAACTTCACCGCCAGCTTCTACTCCAACTCCGATATGTATCGGCGCTCACCCGGACATCGTGCCACCGAAGGAACCTGGCACGCAAGAATGGGACACCCAAGCAACACGGTGTTAAACAACACGATAATAGCAGGCGTGCTCGACAAAGACTCTCTACTCCTAACTGACGGCAGAGAACTTCAGCGAGCCCGTGGAACATGCTTCACCTGTCCCGAAGCTGACTTACCGCATCAACCGTTCGCGTCTCACCACAACCCAAGCGCACCAGCTTACGCGCCACTCGAGAAGGTGTACAGCGACATCCTGTACAACCGCGAGCCTGGACAAAACGCGTACAATTACACCATCACCTTCATCGACGCAGCCACTCGATACGTCTGGCACCTAAATCTTCCAAGCAAGGACATGGCTTTCGAAGCCTTCGTCGCCTGGCTTCCAGTAGCAGAACGAGAATCGGGCGTCAAACTAAAAAGCTTCCAGTCAGACGGGGGAGGCGAATACACCTCACAGAGGTTCAAGGAGTACTTGGCAGAAAGAGGAATCAAGCGACTCATCTCTCTTCCCTACGCCCATCAACAGCAGGGTGTAGCAGAAAGGATGAACAGGACCCTCCAGAACACCATGCGCAAGCTGCTACGTGGCATGCACCTGCTCAACCACCAGTGGCCCGAAGCAATGGACCACGCCGTCATGCTGCACAACTTGCTCTCGTCATCATCGCTCCCGAACAACGCATCACCGCATCTGCTGTGGACAGGAAAACTGGGCAGCACAAAAATGTTAAGAGTCTTCGGCTGCATGGTACAGTACCGGCCTCCATCTGCACGAGTTGGCCGATTCTCACAACGCGCACAGTGGGGACTACACCTGGGCATCGAAAAACACTACAACGCATGGAAGATTTTCGACGTCGAGACAAAGGAAACAGTAGCAGCACGTGATGTCATCTTCTACGAAAACCTCACCCTCCGGTATTACCTTGCCAACTTGCACGAAGGAAACCCCGATCGCTCCGATGGTTTTCTTGGCACCCGAGCCTTCGCCTCGGCAGACGACGAAGCTGACTGGGACGAGCAAAACGTAGAAGGAGCCTCGGAAGAAGCCGGACCCCTCCCCTACTGCTCCGTCGACGTGCCAATGGACGACGAAAACCCACGCGAAAGCATCAACGCCGAAACCTATTACCATTTCGCTGACAACGGTTACGTTACACCAGCACAAGTCAACATCGACGAAGCAGAACGCGTAGGACCCAATTTCGCACCTGATCCAGAAGCGGGAGACGAAGCTGTTTATCCTGCGGACATGTCACTTCCCCGCTACACACAGAGTGGTCTCCAGATACTCGGGCTCTTCACCGCAGTCCACGGCACGGCCATTCCTAAGGAGCCTGCCACAGTTCAGCAGGCTCTGGGGGGGGAGTATAAGGAAAAATGGCGCGAAGCCATGGATAGGGAATTAAAGGCACTAGAGGAGCGCAACACCTGGAAAGTCTTCCCTATCAGTGTGGCGCGGAACAAAACGATTCTCACCGGAAAGTGGGTCTTCCGAGTGAAAACAAAAGCAGACGGCACCATCGACAAATTCAAAGCACGCTGGGTTGTACGTGGCTTCGACCAGGAACACGGACGCGACTTCACCGAGACATTCGCCCCGGTCAGCCGACACACCTCACTTCAAATCCTTCTCGCGATCGCCACCATGAAGAAAAAGAAGCTGCGGCAAATCGACGTCGCGAATGCATTTCTCTACGCACCTGTCGACGCAGAAATCTTCGTCGAGTTACCGCACGGCTCCAACGGAGAACCTAACCAAGTCTGACAACTGCTGAAGTCGCTCTACGGGATCAAGCAGGCTCCGAGACTGTGGCAACAATACCTGCACGCTCGCCTCATTCGCATCGGCTTCAAGCAACTACCGCACGATCAAGGCATGTACCGGCTTACGAAAGGCACCGACTACATCCTGCTAATCGTCTATGTAGACGATCTGCTCTACATCAGCTCGACCGACGGTGTCATAACCTGGTTCGAAGGGGAGCTGCAGCAAGACCTCACGCTCACAGTCTCATCTACCGTCACACAGTATCTCAGCCTCAACATCCGGGAAGAGGAAGACGCGATCCATCTCAGCGCCGCGAAATACGCCGACACCATCGCCAAGCGCTTCGCACTCACACCGACCGTCATCTCCACGCCGTACCGCTACACGACAGGAAACAACAAGGGAGGCTCTGCTCTACTCAAGCCCGCCGGCATACGCGACTACCAGAGGAGACTGGGATGCCTCCTCTTTGCAGCTGTCGCCTGCCGCCCGGACCTATCATACTCTGCAAGCCAGCTCGCCACCTACCTCAAGAAGCCTGAAGCGGAACATCTGGCGGAGCTCGACCGCGCTCTTCACTACCTCGTCAGCACCCCGACGATCGGCCTGACTTACCACAAGAACGCAACTACAACGCCTAAGCTAATCGGCTACGTCGACGCCGATCACGTGGGCGACTCCGACAACAGACGCTCGCGCACCGGCTACATCTATCGGTTCGAACCCATCGGACCTATCTCCTGGCAGTGGAGCAAATAGGAGTTAATCGCGCTCTCCTCAGCTGAAGCAGAATATATAGCACTCTGCTCAGCCACCAAGGAAGGACTCTACCTTCGCGAACTCCTGGAAGAAGCGAAGCTAGCTCAGTTACCCAGCTTCACCCTGTTCTGCGACAACCAGTCGGCAATTCGCATCGCTAACAAGAACGGTTTCGCGAACAGGACGAAACACATCGCCCTACGATACTTCTTCGTGAAAGACGAGATCGAGAAAGGGAGACTCGAGCTATCATACTGCCCCACATCCGAGATGGCAGCTGACTACTTGACCAAGAAGCTCGGAAAACAAAAGTTCGAGTACTGCATGCTGCTGACTGGACAGAGCCACGTCACCAACGGCGACACTCCAGAAGCGAAGGGGAGTGTTGGAAACAAACAATCTTAAGCGCCTCTGTCGTGTCGAAACACCAAGACACAAGCGAGGCGAAACATATCGGAGCACCAACGAGTCAACCCTCGGAGGTTGAGCAACTGCTGGAGGTTACACGAAAGTCAAAGGTCAGCGACCTTTGACCTGACAAATACAGCACGGCAGCAAGGACACACAACTGACTCGTTACAGAGCAGTTGCCCGAGTCGTCACTGTATCGAACCGCAACAGCAACAGTAAAGTAGTTATAACTGTATCTCTTCATATTCCTTGTATTCTTATATAATCTTGTATCTCTTTACTTTAATCAATCTACTTTGCCCTCACATACTAGCGCAAGGTGGTTCACAACTCTTTATTAAAACGCTTCCGCTACTACACCAATACTACCCAGAGTTCACTCCTGCAAAGATCCTAAGGGATCTTCTCAGCCCAACAATGCCAACACCAAGTGCCTCTACCAGCGGTGCGGCAGATAGTGAGCGCAGCGAGAGCCCACGCCGTCCGCTTCCCCAAGTTAGGGTTCCTGTCTTTCCGCAATCCAGCAGACCACAGGGTAAGAAGAAGCGTTGGGCGAGTTGGGCGACGACCTACATGAAGCACCGCCACCCCCAAGAGAAGTGGCGGTCGTCGCACCGCTGGACAAAGAGGTTCCGCAGGCGGTGGTCCCTGGCGCAGCGCGTGAAGACGAAGATTGGGCAGAAACTTGCTGCAGGTAAGAAATCCCGTGCACATTCGATGTTCGCTGATGCAAAATTGCAGCTACTGATCCACCATTCACTTGTGCGACGCAGATTGCAAGAAGAAGTGCGAGTCTTTCTGGGAATTCGTGAGGCAGATGCGCGTGCTCAACGCCTACCCCCTCAACTTGATTGTAAATGCGGATCTGACGCCTCTGTTCCTCGAGATGCCTGCTGAGCGCACCCTCGAGATGAAAGGCGCGCGTACTGTGCACGTGCGCACCGCGGGGTACGAGAAGGAGCGCCTCACCGTCATGCTGGCGGTGACGGCGGGCGGCATGAAGCTCCCTCCCTATGTTGTCTTCAAGCGGAAGACTCTGCCGAAGATCCCCGTGCCCCGAGGTGAGTTGTGCCCGTGCGGCAACTTTGCTGCTCTTTGCCCTGGAAGAAACCCGCTAATGTGTCTTGTGCTATCGTGCAGGTGTTGACATCCGAGTCCAGGACAAGGGCTGGATGGATGAGAAACTTGTCCAAGACTGGACAACGCAAGTTCTCGTCCCCTTCCTTAAGCCGCTCCGCGAAGAGGGAGGGCAGCGCAAGGAGGCGCTCCTCGTCCTCGACTCCTACGGAGGGCACATCACTGAAGCGGTCGGCCAGACGATGAAGCTGTTCAAGCTCACTCGCGCGGTGATCCCTGGCGGTTGCACCTCGCTGGTGCAACCGCTGGACGTTTCGATAAACCGCAGCTTTAAAGCCAGGGTTCGCCACCGCTACTCCACGTGGTTCCAAGATGAGGGGATTGAGTCCTTTACCCGTGCAGGTGAGCACATGACTGACCGTGGTTTAATGTGCGCCTAGAATGTGTATTGACTGACCACTGCCCTTATCCGTGCCCTTTCCCACAGGGAACCTGAAGAAACCCCCCGCTGAAAAAGTTCTCTGCTGGATTGCGGAGGCCTGGGCCGACGTCCCAGAAGAACTGATCAGAAAATCTTTCATCACGTGCGGCATCTCCAACGCCGTCGACGGAAGCGAGGATCATCTGATCCACGCTCACCGGCGGGACGCGGCGGAGGTGGAGGTGATGGAGGATGTGTGCGAGGAGGAGCTGGACGAGCTCGTCCCCAACCCTTTCTACCCTGACCCTGCTGCCACTGCTGACAGGGACAGCGATGCTGAGCTGGTGGCGGAAGGTGGAGAGGAGGATGCCGAGGAGGAGGAGGAGGAGGAGGAGGAATGGGAGGAGGAGGAATGGGAGGAGGATGAGGAGGAGGAGGAGGAGGAGGAGGAGGAGGAGGAGGAGGAGGAGGAGGAGGAGGAGGACAACGGTGGGGTCGCGGAAGAGGTGGGGGCCGGAGGGGGATGGTAGGATGAAGGCGATGAATGGTGGGCTGAAGGGCGATATGATGGGGAGGAGGTGGAGACCTGGGTTGCTGGGCAGGATGAGGATTAGATAGGGTAATGTTCCTTCGCATGTGTGTTTGGTTGTTCTGCCTCCTCTATGAACATTGAAAATCACCAAGTACCAGTCTTTAAATCACAAATGAGTAGGTCTCTAGTGGTAGGGGGGGGGGGGTCTTATATTGTAAGGTGCCAAATAGGGGGATATATCTCGACTAGACTCGAATAGAGTACCCCCCCCCCCCCCCCCCCGTATTATATACCCGGTGGTCTACAACTGGAGGGGGTCTTATATCCGGGGGTTTACGGTACGAAATTTCTGGGTGCATGTTAGGTCAAGCGTGTGTCCTAATGGGCATGCCTCATGAAAATGCGAAACACGCGATAGTCGCAAATCACATCGCGAGCACAACCGACCCCGCATGGATGATGCCCGGTGTCGCCAACGTCAAGGCGTCAGAACTGGGTAACCTACGAAAGTTGAACCTCGATACTCGAACTTTGGTGTGCCTTGTGTTTTTTTGCAAGTTGGCAATTCGTGATTCGGGCCCGAAAGTTGAGAAATCGAATACAGGCAGGGCTGATTTTATCAGGGTAATGACCCTGATTTCAGGGTGATTACAGGCTTGTCAACTGGTGTTCCCTGCAATTTCAGTTTTTTTAACTTGTGAACTCTGATCCAATCAGATAAGTTACTTAACGAACCCTGATATATTTTAACTAGGCTCAGAGTAGTGTACCTGCGGACTATGTCTATGCAGAGTATGCGTTCAGTGGACCCTGAATGCGAGGGTATCGGGACGAAGGTTCCTCGAACTTTCCTTTCGATAACCCCCCCTCGTGCGTAATCATTATTTCGCGTGCCCCCATGTGAAGTACCCCGTTCACGCGCAGGACTGACGTAATACCGACAACGAATACCAACACCGTGCCTTACAGCACAGCTGGCAGCAGTGAAAACGCACCCAAATCAATGATACGTTGCTGCCACACGCACCGCGCAGTGCACAGCATGCCTCCGCCATTGGCCAGAACGGTATGTAGACAGTATGCGGTGGCAGTCCTGCAGTACTTGAATGAATTCGACCTTCATTGACGAGTGCTGCCATCAACCGCGGTGGTTTCGTGATGACCCCGCCATCTCCAACCTTCCCTTCCTTCCCCCTACCCACAGCCATGCTTCCTTCGCTTCCTGCTTTTTCATCCATTTCGTGCGTTCAGTCTCACACTTTCCTCCGCTCCATCTTTCGTCTATCTCGCCACCATGGAGGGCCTGCCGGCCGACGAAGCTGCTCCTCAGACCGGCCCTAACGAGCCACCTTTACCAGCGAAACCGAAAGCGCCAGCCCTGCCGGAGAAAGCATCAGATGCTCCCCGGTCCGGGCTCGATTTTCTTAGAGCTACCGGTGCTTCGGTCACACCAGAACCTCCTAGGTCTACCGTTCATGACTCTGCAGCTAGAGTAACCCCTACTCCTTCTGATTCTCTACGTCCTATCGCCTTCACTCTACCCCCGGCTGTTGCTTCTTGCAGCAAAGATCCCCCACCGCCCGTGCCTAGTCCCACTCCAAGCACGGTGCGGGTGTCTGTTGGCCCGCCGTCGGCTTCTTCCACTCCCAAGCGAGCACGAAATGGCAAGTGGGCGTAGAGTACTCTGGTCGTCGGAGGCCGCCGTATTCCACCGCCTGGCAATGACAAGCCGGCAGATCATCCACCGAAAGAAGGTGAGCTGCCGGAGGAAGTTGATATCCCTGTGCGCGCGGATAGCGGCTCGCCCGCACTCACCAAGATGCAGCTGCGAGAGCAGGTGTACCTGGAGGTGAGTATTAACTACGAGACGAAGTGGTCGCGACACTTCTCCTGGTTGGTGTTTGGGAAGACCAAGGAAGGTTTTCCCTACGTGAAATGCAGCATCTGCATGTCGTACGTGAAGGGGAACACAAGGTACGCCATGCAAGGTGACGACGGTGGCCGTGACTTGCAGATGGAGTCGTTCAGGGCGCACGAGCATACGGACGCACACACGGCGGCGGTGGATCGGCAGTTGAAGCTTGCGGGGGACATCCGCGAGGGGCAGTGGGTGATTTCGGACTTCATCAACTCCGACGTTGAGGGGCGGCGCGTGATTCGTCTCATGCGGTCTACGCAGTTCCTGTGCCAGTGCGACGCGCCAATTAGCATGTTTCCGAAGCTGATGCGGCATCTTGCGGAGCAGGACACACCAGACATTCCTCGACAATCTTACGGCGTGTATCTGACACAGTAATTAATCTTACCATTTGATTGCAGCGTCACGTACGTTGCTCGTCGTTTTTTCAACCATTTCATTCCTGACCATTTCATTCTCCTCTTTGCAGATACGGTTTCCAGCAAATGGTTCACTGTTGAGATACTAAGCATTAGTAGGCTTAGGAGCCATGGGTTTAGTAGCTTAGTGATCGAGTTCGAGGGTAAGGAGAAGTGTCGAGGAAGTTGAGAGGGGAGTGATGTTCACTATAGCACAAGAGTACATATAGCAAACAGAGCATGCAAGGTGCACCACCAACTAGAAAGTTATATAATTACAGTATTCTACACTACAGGCAGTTATAGAACAATATATAGAATTATATATTAGTCTGACACGCCCCCATAAGTGCCTGTAGGGAAGAATGTGCAGTCAACGCCCCCTGAAGGGGTACACCAAGCGCAGGAGAAGGAGAGGGGAAGTGAGGAGGAGGAGGGACTGTGACAGGAGAGGAGATGGGAGGCGACGGCTGAAGCTGCAGACACACAGGCAACAGGAGTCACACTGGCACAACGGCTACCGGAACAGCGCCCCGGACTACTGGAGTAACTGGCTCCGCGGCTAAGACGAGCGGCAGGAGCAACGGACCCACGGGCGACTGGCGCAGCTGGCTACGACTGGGCTACCGGAGCAGCGCCCCGGACTACTGGTGCTGCTGACGACACGGCGGCCACCTCCACTCAACCTCCCCCACCTGTCCCACACTCATCACCCCCACACCCGCCACCCCCATACCCATCACCCCCACACCCGCCACCCCCATACCCACCCCCCCACGGCTGCACCGGGTCCAGGAGCGGCTGCTGCAGTGGCGGCTGCTCCAGGGGCGGCTGCTCCAGGGGCGGCTGCTCCAGGGGCCAGGGGCGGTTCCTGCAGTGGCGGCTGCTCCAGTGGCCAGGGGCGGCTGCTGCAGGGGCGGCTGCTCCAGTGGCCAGGGGCGGCTGCTGCAGGGGCGGCTGCTCCAGGGGCCAGGGGCGGCTGCAGGTGCGGCTGCTCCAGGGGCCAGGGGCGGCTGCTCCAGAGGCCAGGGGCGGCTGCTGCAGGGGAGGCTGCTCCAGGGGCGGCTGCTGCAGGGGCGGCTGCTCCAGGGGCGGCTGCTGCAGTGGCAGCTGCTCCAGAGGCCAGGGGCGGCTGCTGCAGGGGCGGCTGCTCCAGGGGCGGCTGCTGCAGTGGCGGCTGCTCTAGGGGCGGCTGGTCCAGGGGCGGCTGCTCCAGGAGCGGCTGCTGCAGTGGCGGCTGCTCCAGGGGCGGCTGCTGTAGTGGCGGCTGCTCCAGGGACGGCCGCTGCAGTGGCGGCTGCTCCAGGGGCGGCTGCAGTTGCAAGGCAGGCCCGCGCGCTGTTGCAAAGCAGGCGCGGGCACAGGGGAGGCAGAGGCGGCGGCCAGGGGGGGGGAGGGGGCCGCGACGAGCAGGTGACGGGGCCACTAGGGGCGGCAACGGAGCCGCGAGGAGCGGCGACTGGGCCGAGAAGGGCGGCGACGGGGCCGCTAGGGGCGGCAACGGGGCCGCTAAGGGCGGCGACGGGGCCGAGAAGGGGCGGCGACAGGGCCGCGAAGGGGCCGCGAGGAGCCGAGAAGGGCGGCGACGGGGCCGCTAGGGGCGGCGACGAGGCCGCTAGGAGTGGCGACAGGGCCGATAGGGGCGGCGACAGGGCCGCGAAGTGTGGCGACGGGGCCGCTAAGGGTGGCGCGAGGGGCCGTGAGAGGAGCAGCGACGGGGCCGCGAAGAGGCCGTGAGGGGCCGAGAAGGGCGGCGACGGGGCAGGAAGACGCCGCGCGCCCGGGGCGCACGGCGGGCGGAAAACCGCCACGCGCCCCGAGCGCGTGGCGGGAAGAAAAAGGTGTCGCGCGCCACGGGGCGCGCGACAGACAGGAAAGCAGCGGAAGCACGTGGGGCCCACAGGCCAAGAGCGTAGTCGCTCTGATTCCATGTTAAGATACTAAGCATGAGTAGGCTTAGGAGCCATGGGTTTAGTAGCTTAGTGATCGAGTTCGAGGGTAAGGAGAAGTGTCGAGGAAGTTGAGAGGGGAGTGATGTTCACTATAGCACAAGAGTACATATAGCAAACAGAGCATGCAAGGTGCACCACCAACTAGAAAGTTATATGACTATAGTATTCTACACTACAGGCAGTTATAGAACAATATATAGAATTATATATTAGTCTGACATTCACAGCATCAGTACATACCTCACTCGGGTGTAGATGGACCACATCCTGGCATCCCCCTTCCTAGGCATTCAGTGCGACGAGAGCACAGATTAAACGCGAGGGAGACGCATGATTGTGTACCTTACATTTTTTTTAGATCGCCAAATCGCATGCGAGTTCTTTACCTTGCTGACGGTTGAGCAGTGTGATGCAGGGTCTTTGTTCGAGGTGCTTCTGAACCATCTCCGCTCCGCAGCCGTCGATGTGTCCAAGATCGTCGGCATCAGCACGGATGGGGCGTCGGTCATGACCGGGAAAGAAAACGGATTGGTGTCGCGTCTTCGGGAACACGTTCCGCACCTGTTTTCATGCCACTGCATCGCCCACCAGTGTGTATCAAGTCTTGTAGTAGGTCTGGTTTTCTACGTTTATGATTTACCCATTACCTCTTGATTTGTATTCCCTACATCCAACAGTGAGGCGCTGGCTGTGACGGACGCCGCTGAGTCAAACTCGGACCTTGGCATGGTCGACAAGGTGGTGCGCACAGTGGCGACGCTGCTCGAAAACTCAAGCGTGTGGAGCCCGCGGTTCAAGTACCTGCAGCGAGTGATCTACTAGACAAACCTCCAAGTCCAAGGAATTCACACGGTTCGGTGGCTGTCACGAGGTGATGCGGTGCGCAGGCTGTGCAAGGTCCTCGGCGCTTGCATCGTGCTGCTCTGGGAGCACAACCACAAGGCCTACGAGATTGTGATGTGCTACAAGTTCCAATTCTGTTTGTCTTTCCTGGCCGACATTCTGGCCGACATGAACGACCTCAACCGCTGCTTCCAGAGACGTGACGTGAGGTTGAAGGCTAGTATGTTGTTGAGATGAGAAGTGTAATCCTACACTGTTGCTAATCCTACTCCCTGTTGTCGATTTCTGCTGTGACAACTAGATGTGACTGAAATTGCGAAGACTATTGAGTCCACCACGCGTGACCTGGCGGAGTGCTACTTGACGACAACCAAAGCGTTCGAGGGCGAGGGGAAGAGCTGGCTGGTCAACTTCCTCAAGGTCCACAAGGAGGGTGGAGGCAAGCAGGTCCGTGTTCGAGGCGTGGACGGAGAGGGACGCCCAATCAACCACCTCTACACCATGCATGAGAGGGGGCCACAAGCAGGGAAGCACCTACGCAGACTGTGTGAAGCTGTGCCGTCAATTCGCCCGCGACTGCATGGACAACCTCAACAACCGGCTGGATGACCTTGGGAAGCTGGGCCCGACGAAGCTGTTCCGGGCGGGGAAGTGGCCGAAGATCAAGGCCCAGCGAGAGAAGAAGTGCAAGGAGTGGCTGCGCGGATGCATCAGGCTCTTCCGCCACAAGCTGCCGGGATTCGACCTCAAAGCAGCAGAGAGGAAGCTCCCGACATTCTGCGCGATCATGGAGACACACCATAAGATGGAGAGCTTCGCCCAGGGCCTGTCCAGCTTTCTCGGGAACGCAGACTCAAAGAGGCAGGCCACTACTTAGGTACCAGATTTCTAACTTGTTGATTTTTAACTTGTTGATGTTTAACTTGTTGATGTGTAACTTGTTGATGTGTAACTTGTTGATGTTTAACTTGTTGATGTTTAACTTGTTGATGTTTAACTTGTTGATATTTAACTTGTTGATTTTTTAACTTGTTGATTCTGCTGTGCAGGCGCTGGTTGTGCTTCCCCTCTCCACCGTGGAGTGCGAGAGGGGGTTCTCCAGGCATAACATCATCAAGTCTTGGGTGCGAGGAGTGCTCTACAACGCGCATCCGGGGGAGCTGATGCAGATATCACTACTGAAGTATGAAATCGACTAGCCGGAGGCACTGGAGGTGTGGAGGTCCATGCGGAGGAGGCGCTCTGCGAAGAGCCTGAAGCTGGCCGTGGACGAGAGGGAGAGGAAGGGGAAGCAGAAGGAGGATGAAGATGTGGCTGCTGGAACTGCCGAGGAGAACGAGGATGAGGGGGAGGAGGAGGAGGACGATGAAGTGGAACAGGACCTGAGCGATGATCAGGAGATCGTGGGGGAGGAGGAAGAGGAGGACAACCCTTTCCTGTCGGACGATGAGGACGTGGAGGAGGTGTACCACATTGACAAGCCCGTGCACTAGATAGTGTAGGAAAGGTCAAGCTGTTGTAACACTCATTTTGAAGTGTAGTGTAATGTTAATAGCAACCCTGATTTTGAGCTATAAAGGTTCAGGAAAAAAAAAAAAAAAACACAAAAAACCGCCGGATTTTTAGTGCGGTTGAGGATCGATCCTCCTCGATTTTGCACGATCGATCGAGGGAGGGGGCGCGTCCTTAACACGAATACAAGACCAGCCGTTTGTTCGCCCGTTACTGCTAACGGTGTTTCGTCGCCTTCGCACGTCACATTTCCCAAACCACGCACTGCTTGACTAGCCCTCGACCTACACTTTGCGACTAGCTCGAACCTAGCATCGCACTGGCTAGCTCGTACGTTCTGAGTTACTTTTTGTGTGTTTCGCTATATATAACCGTCAGGTCTTCGCTCACATTTATACTCGTTGGCCAACTTAGTGCAATCCTTGCATTCTTGATACATTGCAGCCGTAACATTTGGCTATTAGAGCCACTTTCCTTCGGACCGCGCATTTTTCCGCAACCATCATATCTTTGCTTTTGATTTTTCACTCTAAGATAGATACGCCCCTTTGTGAAAGATAGAACGAGGAATGAACAGCAGAAGAGAGGGTTGCACTAGCAAGCAGTTCAGTACATATAGAAAACCCTAAATTGGGCTGTACTCGCTAAAGAGTACCCCACTGCAGGCTAGACA